GGCTCTCCCCCGAGACCTGTTTGCCTTGGGAGACCCTACCAGGGGCTAATGCCCCGGACAGGATTACTGAGCCACTCAAAGTCCTCCACCACGTTAAGGTGGTGATTCGCGGAGGAGCGGTAAGAGGTGTCTTACCTGGGCTAAGTTGCCTGAGCTAAGTTACCTGGACTAAGGAGAAAAAGGACTGGACTGTTGCTCAGTGGTCCAAAGTGCTCTTTTCAGATGAAAGTCAATTTTGCATTTAATTTGGAAATCAAGGTCCAGAGTCTGGAGGCAGAGTGGAGAGGCACACAATCCAAGTGTCTTGAGGTCCAGTGTGAAGTTTCCACAGTCAGTGATGATTTGGGGAGCCATGTCATCTGCTGGTGTTGGTCCACTGTGTTTTATCAAGTCCAAAGTCAGTGCAGCCTTCTACCAGGCCATTTTAGAGCACTTCATGCTTCCCTCTGCTGACAAGCTTTATGGAGATGCTGATTTCATTTTCCAGCAGGACTTGGCACCTGCCCACACTGCCAAAAGCACCAATACATGGTTTAATGACCACGGTATCACTGTGCTTGATTGGCCAGCAAACTCGCCTGACCTAAACCTCAGAGAGAATCTATGGGGTATTGTCAAGAGGAAGATGAGAGACATCAGACCAAACAATGCAGACGAGCTGAAGGCCCCTATCAAAGCAACCTGGGCTTCCATAACACCTCAGCAGTGCCACAGTCTCATCGCCTCCGTGCCACGCCGCATTGATGCAGTAATTCATGCAAAAGGAGCCTCGACCAAGTATTGAGTGCATACTGTATACTGTACATGGACATACTTTTCAGTAGGCCAACATTTCTGTATTAAAAATCCTTTTTTCTGAGATACGGAATTTTGGGTTTTTATTAGCTGTAAGCCATAGCCTAATCATCAAAATTAAAAGAAATAAACACTCGAAATATATCACACTTTCGATGATATTCTAATTCATTGAGATGCACCTGTATACATCAATCATTGTTTGGAATTGTTGAGGGAATACTTTTTATAACACTTCAAATATTCAGAAATTACCTGTTCCTCAGTACAAATGTATGACATTTACTTTTAAATATCTCTTAATTGGTACAGTAAAATTGTTTAATTTTCAGTATGGGTGGAGTCAAAGATGTCTTGAACAGATATGCATCAGTCATTATCTGGAATTATTAAGAAAATCCTTTTTATAGCACCTTAAATGTTAAGAAATTACCTTTTTGAACGTTCAAAAGAAGGACTTATATTTTGGAAAATCTCTTAATTGGGAAAGTAAAAATATTTGATTCTCAGTATTAGTATAGTTAGAGATGTCATGAACACATATGCACTAGTCATTGTCTGGAATTATAAAGAAAACTCTTTTTATAGCACCTCAAATATTCAGTTATTGGATATTTCTTGGAACAAATTAATTTGTCCATTAATTTAATGGACATTTACTTTAAAAAAATCTCTTCATTACCACAGTAAAGATTTTTCATTTTCTGTATATGTGTGGTCAGAGATTTCCTCAACTTATATGCATTAGTCATTGTGTGGAATTATTGAGAAAATAGTTTTTATAGCACCTCAAATATTCAGAAATGTACCCGTTTCTTGGTACAAATGTATGACTTTTAATTTGAAATATCTCTTAATTGGTACAGTAAAAATGTCTAATATTCAGTGTGGGTGGAGTCAACGATGTCCTCAACACAGACATATCAGTCATTGTCTGGACTTATTGAGAAAATACTTTTTATTAC